ATATAGTGTATATACTGCATCCAGTCTGTATTCATTACATTTTAAGGCCTCACAGTGTATCTTGTCAGCTGTCAGTCTGACATCCATTTCTAATGGTAAGATTTAACTCTTGTTATCCTTGGAAGGGAAAGAAGAGGTGATAAAGAAATCTATTTTATGACGTGTGGAGGCTTAGTAGTCAAGTATGCCCCATTTTAATAGCAATGGTAATATATATATATATATATATATATATACTTTACTTTTGAAAATTTAGCAGGAAAGCTAAGTTTTTAAAGGCATTCTAATTTTAACCAGACTTTAATTTAGTTCTTTTTCTATCAGAGTTTTCTCCCTAGGCTTGCACCTTCCCAGAAGGTAGCCACTAGCCACATGTGGCTGTTAAAACTCAATTTCATTGAAATGAAATCTTAAACATCTGTTTTCTCATTCATACTAGCCACATTTTTAATGCTCACTCAGCATTAAGCTGGGACCGTGCAGAATAGACAGTTGTCCATATTTTATTGGCTGGCACTGCTCTAGATAATTATAAACCATTCTGTGTGTTATGGGGTAAGACATAAATGCTAAACTTTATATACATTGCATTTGCTGGGGGTAATTGAACTTTTGATAGGGGTGTTTCTTTGCTTCGGACACTGACTAAATATTACTCAGATCATTTATTTTTTTATGTTGAAAATATATTGGTGTAAATAGTAGAGCATTTTGAAGGCACCAAAACTTTTTTTAAACACAATTTCCTTGCATTCTAAAAAGTGTTTTGTAGAACACAACTGGTTTCACTTGATTGGTATAATCTGTGGACTAGCTATCTACAACTCCACCGTGGTTGATCTCCACTTCCCATTGGCGCTCTACAAGAAGCTACTGAATGTAAAGCCTGCTTTGGAAGACTTAAAGGAGCTGTCACCCACTGAAGGAAGGTACAAAGTAAAAAGATAGGCAGATTGGTATGGGAAACTGTTGTGGCTGCCTAGGGCACATGGATTAAAGGTGAAAAACACCATGTATATAACTTTGAGCTTATTGAAATGCATCATTAGCCTCCATTGTATGTGCTTTGTCTAAGATGTTTTTTGTCTAAGTATCTTCATAGCTACTTGCTTTTGAAGCATTGTGTAAGTTACTGTAAAAGCAGAAAAAGAAAAAAATAAATACAAAAGAGATCATAACTCAAGCATTCCTAGAAGAATCCTTACAAAAGGGGATAAAATGTACAACAGAATTTCAGTTTCTAAGTGGAAGTTATGCTTTCTGTAGGCATTTAGACTGGATAAGCCCCTGATATGATTGCCTGGAGATATTGTGTAAACTTTAAACCTTAAATCAATACTATCCCCGGAAGTCTTTTGATTAAGTGTGTCTGCTTTGTGCATTGTGCACTTTTAAAGAATTAGCTATGTGAGATCAAACTAAAATAGCAACTCAGAAGGTTGGTCAGGAAGATTAGGAAACTTTGCATTAGATCATGGTGGTAAAAAAAAATGGTGGTGGAATAATTTTTAAAGGGATAATGAAAATAGTTACATAGCTTGAAGAATGTAACTAATGTCACTGAATTATAAATGTAAAAATTATTGAAATTTAAAAATAAGTAAGAGAGAACACAGCTACCCAGAAATAGATAATAACCTCTACTTTCCTATCCTGAGCAAAAAATAAGGCCTGTAGGATTTACCATGGTACTCTGAAGATGTTGTTGTTAGTGACCCTATGCACAACAGAAGGAAACTCCACCCAGTCCTGCACCGCTCACAATTGCAGCTATGCTTGAACCTAGTGCTGCTGCCACTGTGACAGTCCATCTTGTTGGGGTCTCCCTCTTTTTTGCTGACCCATCATTTTACCAAGCATGATGTCCTTCTCAGGGATGGGCCCTTCTTAATAATATAGCGGAAGTATGAGAGACAAAGTCTCGCCATCCTGGATTCTAAGGAGCATACTGGTTGTACTTCTTCCAACACAGATTTGTTTGTTCTTCTGGCAGTCCATGGTACTTTTATTATTCTTCTCTAGCATTATAACTCAAATGCATCAATTCTTATATGATCCTCCTTATTCACTGTTCAACTTTAACATGCATATGAGGCATGTTAAATACCATGGTTTGGATCAGGTGCACCTTAGTCCTCAAACTGACATCTTTCCTCTTGAACATTTTAAAGAGTTCTTGTGCAGCCGATTTGCCTAATGCAATATATTGTTTGATTTCTTGACTGCTGCTTCCGTGAGTGTTGATAGTTGATAACAAGCAAAACAAAGTCTTTGACAATTTCAATCATTTTTCCATTTGTCATGATGTTATTTATTGGTCCATTGGTGAGGATTTTTGTTTTTGTTTTGGTTTTTAGGTACAACACATACTGAAGACTGTGTTCTTTGATTCTCATAAGTACTCTTCACGTTCAATAAGCAAGGTTGTATCATCTGCATATCGCAGGTTATAAATGAGTCTTCCTCCAATCCTGATGCCATGATATTCATATAATCCAGCTTATCAAATTATTTGCTCAGTACGCAGATTGAATGAATTGAAGTTCTTGGCGTAGAAAATTGAGTGCCTCCAGTGCTGCATCAGTTTGTTGAAAGACTTCAATTTGTACCCATCAATTCCTGGAGCCTTGTTCTTTGCCAGTGGCTTCAGTGTACCTTGGACTTGTTCCTTCAGTATCATTGGCTCTTGGTTATATGTTGCCTCTTGAAATGGTTGAACATTGAACATTTATTTTTTGCTAATGATTCTGTATATTCCTTCCATCTTCTTTAGATTCTTTGTGCATCATTCAATATTTTGCCCAAAGAATGGTTCAGTATTTCAAGTCAAGACTTGAGTTTTTTTTTCAGTTTGAGAAATGCTGAGTGTATCCTTCCCTTTTGGTTTTCTAACTCCAGATCTTTGTACATTTCATTATAATATTGGACTTTGCCTTCTTGAGCTGGTCTTTGAAATTTTCTGTTCAGTTGTTCACCACCTCATTCCTTGCATTGGCTTTAACATGTCTGTACTGGAAAGCAAGTTTCAGAGTCTCACCTGACATCTAATTTGGTCTTTTCATTCTTCCTTGTCTTCTTAATGACCTTTTGTTTTCTTCCTGTATAATGTTCTTGATGTCATCCCACAAGCCATCTGGTTTTCAGTGATTAATGTCTAATCCATCAACTCTGTTTTGAAATGATCTCTAAATTCAGAAAAGATATGTTCAAGGTCACATTTTAATTCTCATGGACTTGTTTTAGTTTCCTCCAGTGTCAGTCTGAACTTGCATATGAGAAATCGATGGTCTATTCCACGGTCTCCCCCTGGCCTTGTTTTGGAGCTTTTCCACTGTCTTTTTCAACATATGTAGTTAATTTGATTCCTGTGTATTCCATCTGTGTATAGTTAGATCTCATGCTGTTTCAAAAAGGTACTTGCAATGAGGAAGTCATTGGTCTTACAAAATTCTATCATGCAATCTCCAGCATCGTTTCTATTACCTAGGCAATATTTTCCAACTACTGATCTTTCCTTTTTTTTCCCAACCTTTAAATTCCAATCACTTGTAATTATCAATACATCTTGATAGCATATTTGATCAATTTCAAACTGAAGAAGTTTGTAGAATTCTTCACTTTCATCATCAATGGCTATATTGGTTGGTACATAAATTTTAATAATAGTGTTATTAACTGGTCTTCCTTATAGTCATATGGATATTATCTTATCACAGACAACATTATACTTCAAGATAGATATTGACATTTTTCTTTTTAATGATGAATGCAACACCATACTTCGGCACTTGCCACTCCCAACATAGTAAACCATGTCATTGTTAGATTCAAAGTGGCCAATATCAGTCCATCTCAGTTCCAGAAGTCTGTAATTTTACTTTGCCAGCCTGGCCAAGAATGATATATTTTAAGCAGTGATTTTGGCTGGTTAACTGATAGCAGATTTGAATTCCACTTTAGGAGTTTTCTTCTTGTGCAATTCTTATGGAACTGTAAGACCTTGCTCACTTTCAAGAAAAAGGTGTTACTGAATTCTACTTAATAAGAATGTTCTCAGGTTCTTGAGAGCTAGTATATCATTGTTATTGGCGTAAACATAGACTTTTTTAAGAATACGTATTACAGTGCTCTTTATAACAGATAGACTATTTTAACATAAAGAGCTCCTTGCATTACAAAATTAGGCATTAAGATTCCTAAGCAGATGAAGTGGCTTTGTAGCTTACTTATGATGGAAACATTATTCAAATTTTCTAAAAAATATTCTAAAAAAAATTAATGCATATAGATGAAGCCAGGTTATAGGGCCATGCAATTACCATCTACTTTCAAGCAATACCAGAAGTAAGAGAACACAAGTTTCCAGATATAATCTTGAATTTTTTCGTAGATCAAGTTGGATTTTTAAATTAGAAAAGGGTCCAATTAATGAATGTCTTAAGTCCTCATGCCAAAATTATTTTCAATGTGTAGCTACAAGTTTTGTTTGTCAGTCTGGATTTAGGTTTATTCTAAAACTTCTTTTAGAGTCTTTTTCCTAAAAACAATCTGGTCGTGTAACTCAGGTGGAAGCTAATTGTAATTTCTGATTTGCTTCTTTTGCTTTCTTGGTTCTTTCATAATTAGGAGTCTTCAAGAGCTTTTGGATTACCCTGGGGAAGATGTTGAGGAGACTTTCTGCCTTAACTTCACGGTAAGGATTGCCACCGTTTATTTAGGATTGTAGCCTTCTCTTTGATTGTGTTAACAAGTTGTAGTTATTTGTTCTTTTCCAAATTAAAGATCAAATTGAAGACTTCCCTGAATCAAATTATTTCAGTTCCTGTGTCTTGAGTGTTATACGAGTTTGTAAATGTGTGTTGAGTAGTTAAATAAATGATGAATTTATATACTTAGAGAAAAATGACCGAAGCATCGGATCTCTTTGCTGCTATTTTATACAGGCTATTTCTCTTCTGGAGTTTTTGTCTTTTCTCCTTGGTTGCATTGACTGGCAAATCCATGTCTTAAGAAAACAAAGCTGTCTTTTAGGTACAGATGTTTTCTGAATCATGTGTTCTCTCTCTCATCCCAAGAATGCTCTGTGGTAGTCAATAATCCTAATCCACATTTGTTCCAAAGACTTCTCTTATTTTGTTGAAGCTCAAATGGTAAGCAAAATTGAAATATTTCTTTTTTCTGCTAAAATATAGATCTGTCGAGCCAGCTATGGAGTGATTGAACAGAAGAAGCTGATACCCGGGGGAGAAAATGTGACCGTTTGTAAGGATAACAGGTCAGTCCCGATCTTTGGGCTGTTGCAGATGTCACTAGTTCTTGGTTTCTCTGCCGGTTTACTCTTAAGACCACAGTTGAAGTTGCATTTTAAATCATTTTCAGAGAAAATAAAGATGAGTGAGCAAGAATTTGAAGTGTTTTTAATTAATTTACAGTAAAGTAAGCACTGAACTTGGATTTAGGAGATGACTGTTTTAGTTCTAGATCTATGTCTTATTGGCTTGATATTGCAAATGCTTTTATTTCTGTTTCTTCATCTGTAAAATGGAAATAATTATAGTTGCTTTGTCTACTTCATGGGATAGTTGGGAAAATAAAACGAGACAATTTTATAAGAAAACATTTTGGAATGAGTGTACTCCAGCATCTAAACAAAGGTTTTCCTATCTAGAAAACTACCTGGCATAAAAGAATCAAGTATGTATAGAATAAATTAATGTTACAAAGGTGCTTATTACTACTATTATTTTGGTTGTGGTTAAGTGCCTTTGAGTCGGTTCCGACTCACAGAGACTGTATAAGAATGACTGGTGAGTTTGAACTGCCGACCTTGTGGTTCAAACTAACCTTGGAGTCCAGTGCTTACCCTACAGAACCACACCAGTACTTTACTTTACTGCTGGAGAATTTATAATATGGATTTTAAACTCAGTTATTCCCTCTGCTACCTGAAAATTCAAATACATCTAATTTGGGGGCACAGTTCAAAATATTTGTGTGATGTCTTTGGAGGAGAGACACATTTGAGTTTTGAATACTTTCATATTAATTTCTGGGTGTGATTGCTGGTAATCTGCATATTTATTAATTCATTATAAACACTGAGTACCTACTATATGCTAGGCCTGTTAAAACATCTAAGAATACGTTAAACAGTTAGTGTCTTTGAGTCAGTTCTGACTCAAAGTGAAGCCATGCAGCGTGGAGCAGCTGGTGGGTTTGAACTGCTGATTTTGTGCTTAGCAAAGTGGAGTTAGCCTGGTGGATTCAAACTGCTGACCTTGTGGTTAGCAGCCTAACATATAGCACACTACACCATTGTTGTTGTTACTAAGTGCTGTTGAGTTGGTTTAAGCCTACATTGCAGTCCAGTGCTTTATCCTACAGTGCCACACGAGAACTCCACTACACCACTTGTTGTTGTTGTTAGGTGCCATCAACTCGGTAACGACCCATAGAGACCTTATGCTCAGTGGAACAAAACACTGCCCAATCCTGGGCCAACCTCACTACTGTTGCCATGCTTGAGTCAATCGGTGCTGCCATTTGGACAATCCATCTCCTTGGGGGTCTTCCTCTTTTTCTCTGATCCTCCACCTTACCAAACATGATATCCTTCTCCAGTGACTGGTCCC